AACACGATCTGAAAGGAGTGTTGAAGTGTTTAGGGGTAGAAATTTGGACCCCCCCCCCCTCACAGACCGTGACAGAGAAACTGTAGTTGTAAAGCATCAGATATACGGTTAGCTACAAATGTGTCGTAAGGAAATGGAACAAAAGGATTTCCATTTAATTAGTAACAATAGGTTCATCGTGTTTCACATTTTTAATCCCGCAAGGGATTGCGCTAACAGCTTTTCTCAATTCTTCAGAAATGCAATAAGGATGTAGTTAGTATACTGTAACAAGCCGTTATTGATATACTGTCCTTGATTGTTTATCGACAATGTATGTCATGATACGTTCAACTCTCCTTGTAGTTCGTTTTTCACAAAAGTACCTTAATTTTAATCCACTCGTCCACAAATAGAGTATATGAAAAGTTCTATCTCAAGCGGTTTTTATTTTCCTTGATTTATGAAGCTATGCCTAGAATTTAAAAGAAGACCCACACTCAAATAGTATGATTAGTGAATGTAACTATATGCAGAATGAAGCAATGAAGGATGAAAAAGTCAAACTTGTCAACGGGTTGAACCTGCGGATATATTTAAAAATATAACCCAGCCCATGAAACTTGTAAATCGTGAAAAATACCTAGCTCGTAGTTCGTTCAGTACTCTAACGCGCGCATGGGGCACGGATCAGTCCATTAACATCTCCGATAGAAGACTTCGGATCTTCAATGTATTCGAGGCTTTAATAAAGTGTTTGTAATTCGAGACAAAAAAAAAAAACAACGAACTATATATTTGTGTTTCATTAATCTATAAATTATATTAGAATAAAAATCTTCATTTTAGATTTAAAGATGAATGTCTTCTTAAACTTGGTGATTTATTTTATGAAGAATGTATGAAATCATTTGATTGTCTACCAATAGCAGCATTAGTTCAAGGTCAATTATTTTGTATACATGGATGTATATCACCGGAAATACGTTATATTCGAGAAGTAACTGATATTAATCGTATTATTGAACCACCAACAAAAGGTCAATAAAGAAAATATGTTCGATTTACAAATGATTGCTTTGTTTCTTTTTTTGAAGGACCTCTCTGTGATATTCTTTGGGCTGATCCAACTGATGGTTATGATAATGAAAAACTTGAACAAAGATCAGAAATGTATACACATAATGGACCACGTGGTTGTTCATACAATGTATCTTATAGAGCAATGTGTAAATTTCTCGATGATAATGATCTTCTTTGTGTTATTCGTGCTCATCAAGTACAATCAGCTGGTTGTAAAATGTATAAGAAACACGAAAAAACATTATTTCCAACATTAGTAACAATTTTCTCAGCACCAAATTATTGTAAATTGTTTTTTAAAAATTAAAATTTTTTATAAGATGTATAAAAAAAAAGAATTTTTTCCTAGGTGAAGTTTATAAAAATCGTGGTGCAATTTTACGTTATGATGGTTCTGTAATGCATGTTTTTCAATATAAGTAAAACAAAAAAAATAACTTGAATTTAATTATTGTTGTTTTGTTTTTTGTCTATATGTTTATTTCATTTATTCAGATGGGTAAAACATCCATATGTTCTTCCAAATTTTCTTGATGCATTTCGATGGAGTATTCCATTTGTTTTGGAAAAAGTAACTGATATGTTTTTAGCTATACTAAAGTATTGTTCGGATGAACATGATGGTCGATTATCAAGACGAACTCAAATTATTGAAAAAGTAAATAGAAATATTTTCTACTTAAGTTAATTTTTTATCTCTGGATGGTGATATTAGAAAAAGCACTGATCTTTTTTAAATCATGCAATAAATTCAACTGCGAAGGTCAAAAAAATAAAAATCTGATGATCAGTTTTTAAATATAAGTTTCCGTGAATTTTTAACTATTTCACGAAATTCTTCATCATTGGAAACATGTTTCAGAAGGAATGTTTCGGAGTAATAGTTTTAGTATGAACAAAGAGCGAAAGTAATAGAAATAGATCTTTTCTGATACACTTGTACCATCTTTTTTTTTCTACTTTAAAATAATCTAAATATTTTCACACTTCAATTTAATATTTACATGGTTTTGTTCAGCATAGGTTGTACATCTGATATCATAATAATAAATCTTTCATCAAGAAAATCTGACATTTGAAAACATGATTTTCCAAAGTGCACTCAGAAATATTGACAGTTGTCAGTTTCAAGTCTTTTTCTCGTAAACATTAGCCTCGAGAATATTGAAAAGGTCATAGACACATAGAACACAAAATTCTCTCTCTATTGACATTGAGTAATTTACTTTGGACATCGGATTTACAACAATCAATAAGCATCAACAGAGAATAGAAAATGATTTAGTAGACATTTAGCATATAAAAAGAACTTTTTATGCTTATGAAATAAGACAACAAGATTTAGAATCGACTCCAACATATATTTCGATCTGCATAAGCTTCAATGTCGCAGTTGCTTCCGTTCAGGAGTCATAAGGGCTTTCCTGAGACTTTCAATCTCAGTCATTTGATCTTGAAAGACCGAGAAACGGATTGAGACAACAATTATTCATCATGCTAAGTCGAGTGGTGAAGTTTATATTCAGTTCGAAAGCAACATGAGGCTGTTATTTTAGTATTTTTGAAATTAAAAGTTTTTTTTATAAATAGCATAAAAATCAAAGTATTGAAAATTTTGAAATCGTAGTCTCAGATTACTTTGAAACTGAAACTAAATATCCATATTCGACTCAGCATGATGAAAAACCTGCGACATTTGAGTTTGCTTAGATTGAAAGAGAAGTTGCAAGTCAAAAATCCAGTGAAAATTGACTTCAAAGTCTAGTTTCCACAATCTTTACCAAGATCTCATCTGTTTGATCGAATGGCTAACCAATTAGATTTCAAAATACTTTGATAGTTGAGATCTTGTCTCTTGAATGGTGAAAACTCCAAGTCTCTATGTCATTTTTATGAAAAGCTATTAGAAAAACATCCATGTTCACTAGATTTTGGTGCTGAGATACTACAGTAGTACAATTTATTCTGGATTGAATTGTCAATATTTTGTTTTTAATATTTTAGATTGTTCATTATTATGCATCATTATCCGATGAAGCTGAACAATCATTAGTACTCGGTAATGTTTTACCACCAATAAATAATCGTTTAACTGATTCTCGTATTGCTAATAAAGATCAAATTGATTTTCAAACAGCACAAAAAATGGATTATCCTAATGAACATTTACCATATAATCAATATCGTCGTAAATAATATTTCTTTGTTTTCATTCTAAGATAATGTTTTTTTTTTTGGAAAAAAAAATAAAATAAAACTTATTAAATAGAACCCGACAAAAAAAAAAGACTAAATATGTTTATTTTCAAGGTTTTTTTAATGATAAATTTCTTGTTGACGATATAGATGTAGTTTGTTGATCATTGTGACGTGATTGTAAACGATTAAGAATTGAAAAAAAATCTTCATCAGGTAATGTTTTTAATGTGGATTCATTTAGAAAATTTTTTCTTTCTAATGTTGTTGGTGTTGTAATGATTGGTACTGCTGATATTGGCCGTATTGTTGATGATGTATTCATATCAGGTGGTGGTAAAAGTATAGCTCGTTGATCATCCATACGAGATTCCTAGTGATAGAAAATAAATATATAATTTTTGTTTTTTTGAATTTTTAAAACTAACTTGACATTTAGCAAGTTGATCAAAAAATTGTTCATGTAATGGTGAAAGACGTGGACTTTTTGCATTGGTATTATTTGTCAAATTAGGAATATTTGTTCGTTGATCATCAAAACGAAATTGTTGTAAACGATCAACTGTATTTAATATGTCGTCAAGTTGAGAATTAGAACCTAGCAAGATTATTATTATTGAATTATTGATGAAACAAGAAAAAGATTCTAAATCTCAAAATAATTTTTTTTTTGCTTTTGAATATCATTTCCGTTGATTTTCCTGAACTTTATCAAAAAGAACACATGATCAAAATATAGATGATATTTTTGCATAATAAATAGAAATAAGATTGTGTGCACACTAATACCGCAAATACATTTTTATTAAAGGAGATATTTCTGTTCGCTTTCTAGGTCGTTTTTTTATGTAAAGTAATATTCAAATTAGCGAAGAATGACACAGACATTTCTATCATATCTTATCGAATAAGAAAAACTCCTTCCTGAAATTTAACATAGTTTCAGTAAACAACGTACAAATCATGAAATATTGTAATAACATTTTTATTTCTATAGTCTTGGTTGTATAGATTCATTTGATGAAAGAGACTTTCTAATATTCAAATTGAGAAAGAATATTTCTTCTCTTTGTGTAATGTTCGATTAGTAACACAAACAGAATAATTTTCTAGTCAATCATGATTTGTCATGATATGTTTTTCTAGAGATTAAAATTTCCGTTGTTCGATGTCTTTTCCTGTAAAAAAAAAAGTACTTAACGTTTGTTTCAAGAACTCGTTTGCATAGTTCCTTAGTATGCATTGATTTATCTACGAGAAATACCTCTTCAATTTTCTCATGTGGTTTTTTGAAGACAACGTTCAAAAAAAAACTCTCAAATCTTAGATTTCATTACAAAATATATCGATTTGTCATGTATCCGTGAATCTGATATTTTTTTTTCGTTCTATGCAACTTTCTATTTATTTCTTTGTGGCTTTACGATACAAAAATTAAATTAGGAAAATTTTAAAATTATTTTTTACTAGTCCAATTTTATGTGGTAAACTCAAAAAGAAATATTACATTCATGGATATATGAAACATTAACACCTTTTGTAATGTAATCTGAAGTTCGAGGTGTTTTTTTTTTTTTTTGAAAATTGAAGAGGCATTTGTTCTAGTTAATTCAATACACTCTATTCAAGCATGTAAAAAAAAAGTGCGTAAAACGATGCTGCGGAACTTTATAAGTTGCGCACATCTTATCGGCTTAGAATATTTTACGGTGACTATTCTTATGCTTTCTATAATATTTATAAAATCTTATATTAAACATCAAAACAAAAGAAAATCTTTTTTTTCCGTAGTTTGTGTAATATTTGATAATATAATCGAATAATAACAAAGAAAAATAAATCTGTCATATTATCTCTTTGTAAACTTTAAAAATAAATCGAAAACTAATAACATACGATGTTCTTCTAAAGTATTTTTGTCATTTTGTTCATAATTTGTTATTGAAATGTCACAACGTTGATCATCAAAACGTGATTTTTGCATACGACAAACAAGATCAATTAATTCATCAGGATCATTTTTTGATGCCTAGAAAATTAAATAATCAAAATTATTATATTTTTCTAAATTTTTTACTTGTTTTCTCATTGCTGCTGGTGATTTTTTCGTAAGATGTTGAATAAAATTTAATTTAAGTTTTTTATTTGTATTTAGTATTGATTTTTCATCTATTGGACTTATTAAATTACCAGTTACAACTGAATTAGAACGTGTTGAATTTGTCATATGTGGTTCTGATAGACTTATACAAATTGATTCAGCACGAAGATTCTGAATAAAACAAATAATTAGTTTAAATCAAATTCAAATGAAACTAACTTTAAGTGCATTACTCTTTGATCCAACTTTTTTTTCATTTGTTTCATCAATCTAATTTAATAACAAAAGATAAATTACAATAGAATAAAATTACAAATTTCTCTTTGTTTATTTTATTTTGATATTTTTCTTCTTACTTCTCGTGCTAATGATTTATAAAGATTACGATATTTTTTTGTTTTATCATATTGATTAATTTTTTCATATAATTGACTTAAAATCAAATACGCTTGACATTGACCTCTATAATCTTGAAATTTATGTGCTAAATTTAAATGTTTTTCATGAAAATAAATTGACGTTTCATAATCTTGTTTTATATTATAAACTCGACCAAGAATAAAACATAATTGTGCTAAAAATAATCCATCATTCATTACTTCACTTATAATCATTGCTTCTCTTTATTAGAAAAAGAAAACCAAAAAAAAAAAAGAATAATAGAAAAAAATTTTATTTTAAATGAAACTTTATATTTTATACCTATAATGATAACGAGCTTTATCATATTCTTCTAAATATAAATAAGCATTACCAAGATTTGTATGTGCACGACGTTGACCTATTTGATCATTACATTCTTTAGCAATTGTCAAACGCTATAAATATATATTATATATATAAATTATATATAAACAATTAAATAGTGACAAATTTAATATACCTTATCAAAATATTCAATAGATGTTGAATAATCTTGTAATAAATAATTAACATTATTGTTGTTACTCAATGCTCGTCCTTCGGCCATGTTATTGTTTAATTCTTCGTGAAAATCTGTTTTTTTCTATATCAAATAGAACATTAAGTAATGACAATTTCCGGGTTTTCCCTTTTGTCTAAGAAGAAAAATAATAACAAGAATAGACAATGTAGCTTATAAATAAATGAACCTCGTCAACTCCTCGATAGTTAAATTAAATAAAAAAGCATTTATTGATGATGAATGACAAGAAAACAAAGTCTCTACGTAGACGTGCATTTCGCTATTATTTCCCAATAGACTATCTAAAAGGTTCTATATTCTTTATTGATGTTCTACTCGCGTGATGTTCTATTAGACTGAATATGCAAGCATTAAAATAATGCATATAAAAATCAATTTTCATTTTTTTTTTTCTTCCTTTAATCTTGTCTATCTTGATACTCGTAGAAAAGAAAAAGAAAACATCATTTTCTTTAAAAATCATTCAGGCATGGATTAAATTTTTTTTTTCATATAGAAAAAAAAAAGAGAGTTCATCGAACATTGCACGAATAAACTTACTTGAAATTTGACAATTATAAATATGTAAATATTTTAAATTACGATTTTCAATATGAATTACTATGAAAATTTTTCTTTTTACAAATAACAACAGTTTTTTCTACTGTTCATAATAATTAGTTTGTTAGAATAGCAACAAAACACAACACTTGATGCATTGCCCGATAAAAACAGAAAAATACGACAGAATTCTCCTCTTCTTATATCAACGTGCATTTGATTGAATCGGTAATAAACTATGTGTAATAAAAAAAAAAAAAAAAAAAACGGCTTCGAATCATTCTATTCGAATTTATTTTCTACAATCTTATAATAGTTATAATCTATAATATTGTCAATATATCTGAATTTGTTAGAGATCGATGCTACAGAATAGATTTAATAAATTATGGTAATATTTTATGTAGTCGTTCCATCTTTCCTCACCCGTTGAACAGACGACAAACAGATTAAGAAGAAGAAAAAAATGTGAAGCGAGCAAAACAAGAAAGTCTATTTTGTTTCATAAATTTTAGACGAAAAAGAAAAACAGAAAACTAGAAATATCGCATTAAGTAGTGTATCTAAACAAAGCACGGACGATGCTCTTATCGTTAGAGATTGAATTAAAGCCGACATATGCGCATAATTATTATGTAAATCTATGCTTCTATATTTCCTTTGTGATTGCTACTCTCATGTATCATGTAATATACCTTTTCTTTTTCTTTTTTTGTTGTTGTTTGTTTCGGATCTTTTCATATGAAAGTAAAGTAATCAAAATGACAAACTGATAGGTTTCTCGTTTTTTTTTTTCTTCTTTTATTCGCATTGACTATCTATCTTATACTCAACATCCCCGGAAATGATCGAAGAAAAGCACTGTTATACACGCGGAAGCTTGGTGACATATGTGAAACACGCAAGGAATATAGTTTAAAAAGGCATGACCCACTATCTCTATCTATCTATGATCATATCAATGTGCGAATGAAGAATAGAAACAAAGAAGATTAGTTTTCATATACATAGATCTGATGATGCATATATAATTACGAATAGAAATATTCATGAGTACATCATTCATAAAATGAAGAGTTACTAATCGATTAATATGATTTGAATCTTAGACAGATTCTTTTTTTTTTTTTTGGTTTTAGGAAAAAATTTTTCCTTTTCAAATAGAAGATAGTCAAATAGTATTATATTGATTCATCATGATAGTTTCATTGTTTAAAGAAAAAAAAAATTTTTTTTCTATCTCGTACATTCGGTACTTTAATATAATAATAATGACAAAAATGAATACTATTTTATTTGGATAATAATGAATATGTCCAGTTTTTATATTTCTTCATATAATAATTTTCATGAAATGTTCATTAAGACATTTTAATTAAATATATATATTGTCGAATAATCGTTTCTGTTTACTAAAAATTTAATAGAAAATCTAGGATAGATTGAAGAAAATTTTTCATCTTGTTGAATACTTTATTATTCAATACGGAATACTAATATTCATCTGTAAAAAAAAAAATTGGTACTAGTTCAAAGTATTAATTATGTGTCATTAGCTATTGGGTTACAACTTACGTCTTAAAGTAGAAAAAAAAGAACATCTGAGTTTGTTTATATTTTTTGAAAATTTGATCGATATTTTTATGATTAAGAACGACGACAAAAAGAATGAGATCAAGCCAATAGAAAAGTGAGGCGATAAGGATGTAGATGAAAATCAAACGAAGAGTAAGAGTATATTCCTTGGAGATATAGCTTTGCTTAGCTCTAGCTAGAATGTATTATATACTAGCAATAAATAAGTTCAGTGAATCGAATAAATTCAATGAATTTCTAAAATTAGTATGAATAACTCTTTTTTGTCTCTATAGATTTTAAAATGAATTAATCAAGAAATACCTTATCGTATCTAGAGTAGAAAAATTAGTTTTTTTTTGTTGTTTATTCTACATAGAACAAGATAATTACTAATGTACATTAATTTAATTAAACAAATAAATTAGTTTTTTTTATGATTAGAAACAGTCCTAAACAATCGTTCTTCATTGATTTTATATATATATAATGATCTTCTAGGCATAATAGTTTTTTATTATTAGATTGATTTTATTATTCATCAATAAAAAAAGACAAGACATAGTACTATTTATCTTTTTATCTAATTTTATTATTATTCTGAATATTGATAAATATGAAATCTATTAAAAATATTTCCTTATCAAGTCTAATGTTCAAATCATGTTACACAATATCCTACATCAGGATGTTTAATAATAACTCATATTGAAGAAATAATATAATTATTAGTTACTATAAATTTTAGAGTTCAAAAAAATTTTTCATGTCTCATCGAGTTCTATGAAATTTTGTAGTCGTACTATTTCCGCCTTGATTCAGTCACGATCGTTCCATCAAATCGTCTTTTTCTTGGTAATATGTTATTTACTTGTTTTCTATTCGAATCAAACTAATCAGTATTATTTATTATATGTTGACATACTTATTTCACTAGACAAAGACATCTTGAGTTTTTCTTCATTCGAGCTCAGAAAAAAAAAGAACAGATGCCAATCTCTGCACAGATATGATCATACATCATCGAATTTTACTTTGACAGGTATTTCATCAGACGTATAAAAGATCGGTTTTTTTGTGAAAAAAAATAATATTCAACTAGATGAATTATATATATAAATTTTTATTTATTTAAAAAATTCACTATTTTATTATTTATTTTCTTTAATATATGTTGCATATGTTAAACATAAACAAATAAAAAACTGAAGAAAATTAATTTAAATCAAACAATGAATTTTGAAATATTAAAGTAATATTCTTTTATTGCATACATAAATCTCAACGATGTCTGAGAATAATTACATCCACTTGTAGATGAATTCTGTTGATGATAGAAGAGGACGTCTTTTTTTTTCTAGAACTTCAATAGAAATTTTTAACAGACCTATTCGAATGGAACATTCAATCGTTTCTTTATATTAATATAATTATTATCTTTTTCATCAAGATTTAACAGCGAATTATTTTATGTTAATATTTTTACACGTGATTCGTGGATCATATTAGACAAAATGAAAATGTGCGACCAGATTGATTATAAACTCTGTAGAAACCACTAAAAATAAATATCAAAACTTTATTTAATTAGTTATTTGTTCTTGAAAGGATGCCGTCTATTCTTCTGTTTCAAATGTTCAATTTCGACTTTACTGAATATTATTTAAAATGTATAACTAAGTCACTAGTTTTGATTACTTGTAAGAAATGAAAATTTTTCAAGTTCCATTCAATTAACATTGCAACACCACGAATAGAGGAAATGAGAAGAAAAATAAAACGATCACTCATGGACTTTTATTTAAACCTAGATGTAATATAGATTTATTTAGCCTACTTGCTATTTGTTGAAACGATAGTGAATATTACTTTTTTTTTTTGATTGAAAATACGCAAGTTACAGTGTTGCACTACTGTATTCCATTGTGAGACAATGATGAGACATCGACAGATTTCGCAATTCTCTTCAAAATACATTAAAATTTCTTAAATATGTGTTTGATATTGTTGTTTCTTGTATGAAATAGTTTATATACGTTTGATTTATTGTTTCGGAAATAAAATTTTAATTGTGATTTATTCCTGGAATAAAGAATACGATGAAGTTCAGATACGATAGCATATCCTATTGATCTCGGGTTCGAGTTTATGACCGATCTACCGGATCATACTATAAAAATAACAGCTAAATATAACTTGATTAATATAAGATCATCGTCAAGGTTGTTTTTCAAATGCGGGCATTTATTATTAGCAGAATACAAATATTCGATAACAAGTATCTCGCATGTTTGAAGTGACTATCCGACTCGAATTAAACAATTTCGTTGACTTAGAAGTACGACCGGATTCGAATAGAAAAATTTTCGAATTAACAGCCACTATCGGATACTCTCGCAAACACTTCTATTCTGACAGTTCATATAGTTCCGTATTACAATGATATATTCTCATGAAATAGTGCAATTCTTCTATATACAACGCAGAGATATACGATCGTAATATTAGGCCTTATAAACCATAGTTTTCCTAAGAGTATGTTCGTTAATGGCTGTACTTTTTTAAACTGAACATATTGAAAAAAAATCTATTAAAGAAAAAGTCGTCTCTCATGCAGCAGTAGTTATTCTTTGACAGGGCGGAAACAATTGCATTGTGTTTTATTTTTATCTATCTAGTGGATCTCTATTATTAATACAAACCTCAAGACAATTTCATCCAATTAAAAAAGGAACGAAAAATGTTTCATGTTCAAAATCAAGATTGTTGAAGTAGTTTTTGTTTATCTTTGTCTATAAATATCCACAGTATAACTGACTCACTAAGGAATTTTCTCATAAAGAATTGATTCAGTATTATGCAGAGTCTTTAGCAATGTTTTAAGTTACAATTCCTTTCGGACTATTCAG